CGATGTGCGTGGAGTCGCCGAATGTGCGGTAAGTTATGTGATAATAGTTAGGGTTTTGGTCGACCGCCACAAACATGGAGCGCTTGAAAGACATGGGCACCTTGATGACACCCCCTCCCGATGTGTCGTCCCCATTGCCTACCAGTGGCCACACAAATGGCGCACCCAATTGACCATTGAGTATATCCTAAATTTTCATAGTTTAGCGTAATTATAAATTCGCGTTACATGTACTTGGTAAGTTAGCATGCATTAATTGTTAAATATTGGCACTTCACAAACACTTTTACGGAAAATATTTGCGTATAAATTCATAATAATTAAAATAGGTTCAAAAAATAGATTGATTATGGTATATGACAATCTTTGTAGACAGTTATCAAATTAAATCATCTCGCAAAGACATAAAAACTGTATAATTAAGCTTAGTTAATTTAAGTTAATTTTAAAATTAAAACAATTTAATTGACACCAGGTAAGATATTGAGCTATTTATTGTATTTCTTGATGAATAGGTATAAAAAATATTAATTATTTAATGACTTTCATTCGTATTATCGGTAATCACTATTAACTTAATACAGTAGTATTAAAACTCATGTAAATGTAGTATAAGTTATATTATATGATTACTGAAATTTTGTTTGAGTATGTGTACCTGAAAATTTAGTGCATTTAACTAAATAAGGGAATACCTGTAAATTGTGATCAAGTACAATAATGTCATCCAGTTTAATGAGTAATTTTCCCGTCTTGTTGAACACGCCGTTATCTCTAGTCATCCAAATGGAGTCTATCTCTCCGGCCCCCAAGTGCTCGCCTATAACGCAGTGCCCAAAGGGGTCGGTGCGCAGGCAGGCAAAGGGTCCGCCGTCATCGTTGGTACCCTTGCGGTCGAAACTTGAGAACTGTTTGGAGTGAACGCCTGTCCGCAACCCACTCATGCCATTCATAAGGCGGTATAGTTCATAGCCAACCGGACCAATAGATCCGAGCACACCATTCATTGACACCACAATCAATATAAAGCTTAAGCATTTCATTTTGAACATAATTTGCACGTTTATTGTAGAGCAAAATATGTTTGCTTTTTATATACTGTATATTTGATATGGTTAGTATGAGAATTAAACCAAATGTTAATCTTATTGTAGTATCATAATTACTGAAATGATTTTATTTTCAATGTATATTCACTACAAAAAATGTGAAAAAATACACCTGTTGAATCCTGTTAAATTATAACCTTCATTAACAATAACATGATTAAAGTGTTGTACGGAATACGTAATCTTGCAAGGTACAGTACAATATCTTTTAATATCAATACGACTTTTGATCACTTTTTGAGCATTACTATTGAAACTAATGGTACTGAAAAGTACCAAAATATAGAGTACATTATAATTTCTTTCAATCTCTGCTATACTTTTGATCTAGCTTAGATATTTTTAAAACATAAAGCAAAGAGAAAATTATTTATGATCCTTTGTGAAATAGTCTGTGTGTTAAATTCAAATGCAATCACTATATTTAATTTATATACTTATACGGTACTGTACTGTATATAAACTGTGATCTATTATAAACCAACTATTTCTTTCCTTAATTAAAAATACTAAATATTAATCAATTTTAACAAAAAGTATACCAAAATGTTCAGGGATAATGAAATTTTTATATCTGTATTAGAGAATAACCACAAGTTATTTACCTTGATCATAAATAGCGAGTAAACGTGCGAACAAGCGTTTCGATTCAATACCCAAAATCACGGGTTCTTAACAGTGCTCTCAAATGCAAAGCAGTGAAAGTCCGCAACAATTGAATCAATGCTTCCATTCATAGCACTGTTAGGAATCATGTATTTTATGTGTACTCGAAACGCATGTTCGCGGCTTAACTCGCCATTTATAATCAAGGTAAATAACTTGTGGCTATTCTCTAATACAGATATAAAAATTTCATTATCCCTGAACATTTTGGTATACTTTTTGTTAAAATTGATTAATATTTAGTATTTTTAATTAAGAAAAGAAATAGTTGGTTTTTAATGAATCACAGTTTATTTAGACAATACTTTATATCTACCATATAATGATACTATTTTTATTATTTTTAATCAAATGTCAAATACTGATAATTAATTAATTAAGAGGAAATAGTAAAAATGATTCATTAATGACAATATAATGTATGTTAATTGAATTATATATTGATGTAATATTGAATGCAATACTATTTATCATAATTATTATTGAATGTCAGAGGGAATAATACACGTCAGTGTAGCACACCTAACCTATCAATTAACTTCAAATGTACTGTACCTGTTGAGTTTTTATGTCGTAAATATAGTACAGTATTAAATAAAATACGTACTATTTTACTAATAAAATTTAGGATAATATTAATTTTGCCATTTAAGATAGCATTCAATTCTCTACTGTATCATAACGAGAGTAGGCAGTAGTATAGATTACAATCAATTGATTGAATATTACGGTCCATTTCATAATGTATTTTATTTTATAGCACAGAATAATTAGTCGCTATTTTTAGCATAATAGCAGAATATTGCGATATTTTTAATATATTATTATTGCATTTATATCTCATGTATTGATTTAATTTAATAAACAAAAAAATATATTTGTCTTATTATAACTATACAAAACAGAATATAAATTATGAATATAATTATTATTGACTACAAAATCTATTTTTTCAGCATTATATACGTTAGCTTTGGTGATATTTGGGATTAATAGCATATCGCTATAGAAACTAATTACTATTTAGCAATATTATAGTCACTCGTGTAATACAAAATGCAAACAGAATATTCTTACAGTAAATTAGTTTTTTTAAAATTAGGGTAAATAGTGTGTTACATATTGTATACTAGCTGTTTGTTTGTAACTTATACTGTGTCTAACGATATGTTTTTAAAACAAAAGTTTATGAAAAAGTTTTTCGTGTTTCATAAGAATTGTTTAGCCATTGAACTCATTGTCTGCATATTTCTAGTGATTTTTGTCTACGAATTCACGAATGAATTAATGTATAAAAGAGTTTACTATACGTTGCATAACGTATGGAAACAATATATGATTTTCTTGTATCAATAGTTTTTGATTGATTTTTAAGTTTTACGATATGTTTAGCGCATAAGAAGACATCACTTACCGGAAGGTGTGGTCGGTGTGAATGCCTCCAGAAGTCAGGCGTTTACTAGTAATAGACGTGTGTTTCACGAGTTTATGGACTTATTGGACAGAATTGATGCCAAAGTTTTTCTCATCGATCCCTTACTACTCTACTCATTGATCGATGACAAGCACCGGCAGGTCTTAGAGGACAGGGATTTATTGCCAGAGTCTTTACTTCATAAAATAACTAATGGTAATGAGTTTTGCCTTTCGTTTGGCGTTTTTAGTGACTTCCATAGAGATAATGTAAGTTTTTATTATTAATTAGTAATTATTCTGTAAATTCTTGTATAAATTCCTATATTATTGTTGATTACAGAGTATATTAAGTGAACAAATGTCAAAATTATCGTTTAGTGAGACAAGAATATACGGATTAGATGGCAGTCAAAGAGAGTTAGGCAAAGACTTTACGCAAATAGATAACACATTACTTCATATATTTTTCACCAAAAACACGGATTGCATACAAATATCAGTGTTGTATAAACGCCACGATTTTCTATGGATGGGCTCACTGTCTGACCATTACTTTAAAAATGATAATAATTTTGTGCCAAAAGGTATTCATTACGGAAGACATGAGTCGGCTTTTGATTCATTTAGCATACAAGCAGTGAAAATATCCAGAAATATAACACTTTTAATACCTGAAAAAGTTAGTCATTTTATATCGCAATACAAGTCATCGAAATTCATTGAATGTGACTATAGTTTAGCCAAAAATTTCACACAAATGTATAAAAAAGAGTTAACAGAATCCGAGTCAATGGACCGTAAAGTGAGGGAAGCGTTGATAGCATTGAAAACGTTTACATCGAAACTCTTTATACCGTTTTTCATATCGAGTGGCACTCTATTGGGTTGGTATCGACAGTGTGGTGTCATTCCCTACACCTCGGACCTGGACACCGGCACATGGGCTACGTATGCCAGCCCTCAGCTCATCGACACATTCATTCATAACGATGTTGTCCTCAAATTGACGTATATCTACGGTTTGGTTGAAAATGGACTACAGTTTGCTTTATATACTGAACGCGACTTAAGAGTCGACTTATTCTTTACTTATACCGAGGGCTCAAACATGACATATACGGGACATATACCCCGCGATAAGGCATACTTCCGGTACATATACCCTAACTTTACCCTATGTTCCGCTGAATTGTTAGGACTCAAAGTGTTAGTCCCATGTAATCCGAAAGCTGTGGTTAGCGCCGGTATGCAAAACATTAATGTGTTAAGAATATTCTATGTGTATTATTCAACAACTTTTATTAATTATATTTTTGACTAAGAATTTTATTAAATTATTTAATATTATTTTTATTAATTAAATTTTTTTAGTGTTTAAAGTTTTTGCATTGAATATATAATACAGAATATTCTGAACTAATCTTTTCATATAATGTGTTATATCTGTGAACTCAACCCAAATGTATGTCCAGAATATGGCCCGAAATGGTTTCAGCCTAAGACTCACTGGGCGTACGAGTCGTCCCCTTTCAATATGGGGGCACTTCAGCACTGGGAGGCCGGGGAGGCGGACAGGGCTTACAGAGAGTTAGTAGTATAAAATTTGTTGTGTTTTTCTTTATTAATTAAAATATAAAGTTTATTGTAATATATTTTTGTAATTCTGTATAAATGTGTAAAATATTTATTTAAATATACTGTAGTTTCAGTGATAATAAAATTATTTTATGTGAAAAGTTGTTGAAAAAAGTTTGGCAACAGTTTTGAAACTATTTTTGTAGACGTTTTCTAT